TTCGTTGTCAGGGGCTACATTGTTTTCAATAACTTCTTCCGATTGATTGGATTTCATGTCTGCTATATTTTTGCAGTTTTTTGCATTGTGCCCTTCTTCCTTGCAGTAAAAGCATTTAATAGTTCCACTAGACACGTAAATCCAGTTTCTTTCTTCTTTATATGTGATCAATATGGCTTCAAGTATCTTACTTAATGCGTCTTTCGGTATGAACAACGGCATGGTCGTATGGAAACGGTATGGTCAACAGAAGCTTAAAATATGAGTGAACTGCTCTTTATCAAAACCGGCTTTGAGAACTTAGTATTACTTTTAGTTTGTCTAGTTCGTCTTGAATTACTGCGTTAGGAACCATAGGATAAATATTTGAAATTACAGTACGCTTCTGTCGACTTACGAGAAACCTAGTATAAATGTAGACTTTCTCAACGAAACATTTGACAAATTTTCAATTGCTGAATGCCAGATGTCGATTTAACCATGATCGCTAAGGCGATGTATACTCCTGACCAGGGTATACACATGACTAGTGTCGGTTCGAATCTTCATCTAAAATCGTGCTTAGCTGCTCTATGCCTGCGGTTATGGCGAAGGGAGAGGCCGGAGCAAAGCAAACGGCTCCTGTACGCGCACGAACGCGACAACAATGGGTACGCGCGGTCTTTAAATGGGTTGAGGTTAATACTGTTTTATGTTGATTTAAAAATTGATCTAATAGAAAATAAATATTACTCGTGCTCGCACCATTACTTAAAGTTAATACTGAATATCTTCACCGATTATAATGATCGTCCTAGAATCTTCTTAGCTTTCGAATTACATCACAACCGTTGCTACCCTAACAACTGACCACGTCATACTGTTATCTTGAACTTCTCTGAGTTTGTGCTGTTGTGTCATTATGCCCAGTGTGGAGGATTTCTATATTCAGAGAGTGTTGCTTTTAAAGGGAACATTTTACACCCTCTTTCAGATATTGTGCAACAACGGTGAGACACTTTTGAATACTTTTTTAGTGTCTGAGCCGTCGTTCAGAAAATTGCTATCGAAATCACATGATCATATTAACTTGCGAGGTACCAATTTAAGGTGTACTATACCACCAGAAGAATTGCTTGCATGTGCTATTTCTTAATTAACCCTCAATGTCGAATCTACGCGTTTCATGAATGGAAAATTGTAATCTGCTCTCTTAACGCAGTAAACCGTATGTTGCTAGTACTCCATGTGTTCTGCTCGCTATGAATGCCTACGAAGCAACGACGTGTCATGAATAACACGCTCCAATTCGCAGTTGCGCGACGGACGGTGTTGACGCCGGACATCACTGCAGCGCGCTAGTGAGCTATGGCGTCTCTGGTGCACTATGACGGACACATTTGACGCTCGTGTGTCGCTAGCCTTAAGGTACTAAGTTTGGACAGACGAAATTGGCCATAGGCGGCTGCGTGCAACTATCGACCTATGAACCTCAGGGGGCAGGGATGAAATATCTAGGAAGGGAAATGGTGAATTTCTAAAGAAAATACGGAAGTTAGAAACTCAATTAAAATTATGGTGATAAACCTTGTTCTTTAAATTTGATTCCAAGATTTGAATTTAAATCTTGGATCATAGTCGTCTTGAAAGTTGCCTTTATTCTCTTCGCTTAATAAACCTCATGACCTACCCCCATGTAAGCAGTTAGTTTTAAAATTTGCTATTAAATTATCTAACTGTGAACATAAACCTATTTATTTACTTCCTAAACAGTTAAAAACTGTGACGTACTATGGGGAGAAGTTAATTTAAAGTTAAAGCTACGCCCAGAAGATAAACAAGGGCCTTCTCAGCATTTGCTCAAGGATCAGGGAAACTGGACAAATATCTGATCGAAATCGGGGTCATTGGCCCAGAAGCTGAAGTACAATACTTCTTACAGGTTCTTTGGAAGTATACAGTCCAAATGGTAAATAGTACATTAAATGTCACTGTCAAAATTAGTATTACATTTCTTTTGGATACTCGGAATAGTCTCTAGTGTATAGATACGCAGCAGAAAATATTTTACTTGGGACATAAACTTGTTTATCGAATTTAATCGTTTAATGTCGTCTGGCAAAATTATTAAAATACATTTTAAAATAATGTTACATTATGAAATAATGTTGTCTTCACAATTGCCATCCTGGCAAAAGAAGAGTCGTTTTAAAATGTTTACAGCCTCATGCCCAGCTACAAAAAGGTGATCGCGCAAACTAGTTTGTATATACACTTGATATTTATGAAAGAATCCGATATTCCAAACTGCATCGATTACAGCAGAAGGTACTGGGATCGTTCCTTTCCATTTGACTATTCATTCGTATTGTCGACACAAATCGCTCAGAAAGTCGACCCGTTTTTATTTATGGTGCATCGATCAATACATTTGTTTTACTTATTCTCAATATTACTAATTTTTTTCTCTTATGCGTTTTGGAAGGTGGCAGCTCCAAACAATTTTTGTTTTGAATTTTAGGCTCGTGAATTAGCTCAATAATACGAGCTGTAATAATTATATCTTAACTCATTGTTTTTTTATATTGTCTTATTTTACTTTTGAATTTTTTCCTTTGTATTGGCGGAACGGCACGGGCGGAAATGGTATTCGTGTCATACGTTTGCACGACGATCGTGTTTGTAGCTTAGTCTTAGTCTGTTTTTTGTTTTTTTTCTCCCTATCAAATTGCCAAGGCTACGCTCGGTGCCCCATTTGTTAATTCTTTATTTTACCCCTGGCATGGAAACACCGACTCAAAAGTTTCTCTAATCTGGCCTTTCGAAAGCAAATACATAAGCATTCGATTTCACACAAACGCATTCGACTCCCTCGTCCAGTCATTTCTTTCACGCTCCTTTCCGGCTGATCGTGTGAATTCATCGGAATCAGGGCTGGAAACTATTAACACCCTGCAACTCGCGACTTCCTCAAACATGTTCAAAGCCATTAAATCAAAGCAAGGTGGCACAATTAGCTTCGCGTCAAAAGTGACAGTCAATACTACGCCCTGGCCGCGTTCTGGCCCTACGACTCAACTCAGTTCGATGCCTTTCGGGGGCGGGAAGTCTAAAAACTAACAAACCCCAAACCAGGAATGTATATAGTAATAGGATAGTTTTAGTTAGTCTGTAAGTAAAAAAGCCCTCCCTAACTGCACAAGCCAAATCGGCTGCAGTTGAAAATAATGTATTCCGAAAGTCAAATAAATTCCCGCCTCTTTAGGTAACCTGGAGAGGGGAAAATTAAAAAAAAATTCGGGGTGGGAATAATGTTGGCATTAACCGCCAAATTGCTTCAAATTTGGCGCCTTGTTTTTTAATATGGCATTTTTGATCTTCTTTGAAGGATTTCCCGGAGCAAAAGGACTACACTTGGTGCTTTGGAGATGTAATAATTCTCAAAAAGCCCCGGGAATTCCTTCTCTGTTGACCAAATACTCATTTCTTTCGTACAAAGTTCCTTGACGTAGATTGCTGCTTTCAGTTAGTTCCGAGCGTCATAAAAAGATCGCATCAGCTCCTGGGCAGCTCCTCGTTTCGGGACTGTTGGAGCATTGTAAAAGGTTCTGAGAATACCGCAATTTACAATGATTTTGAAGGAGCTCGCATTGTCATCAGTGGCGAGATGCAGAAAGCTTAGTAAAAACGTTCTGAACGCCTTGAAGGTTCGATTCAGGGCGTGCCTGACACTAAATGCAGTTGTAACATGAAGTAAAAACGACGAAATTCGTAAAGAAAGGTTTAATTTCGTTTGAACAGAGGTCACTGTGACAATTTCTTCAATACTCAATTGTGTGTCGTCTTTTTTCTTCAGGTATTTCGCCACCTCAACAAATGTACTTATATTTTATGTGAATGTTTTTATAGTGAGCTGTGGACACTGCCACCTGGTGAATATTATTTCAACGTCGAGTGTTGTTTAAATGTGAGTTCAAATAATTTACGATTTCACGTTAATTTTTTAATTTATTGTGAAAATCTACTGTAAGTTTTTTAAATATTTTGAACTACTTAAGTTTAAAAAACTTACATTAGTGAAATATGTTAAATAAATTATATATGTTTTAATTGTTATTGTCGGATAGAAGAAATATATTAACGTAAGAGCTAACTGGCAGCGGGAGCGATAATTTGTGACTTGACTAAGATGACAGACATGATTAATTCCATTAAAACATGGCCATGTCACAAGCAGATTATGTTAAAAAAAGGTTTACTTTCCCTTGCTGAAAAAAATTACAGCAAGTGAACTTCATTTTCTTGTAATATGTGTTAATATTGTACTTATGCTTTTATTCACGCAAACATTGTCTTATGTGGCAGTGCTATCGCTATGTTGGAATTTTAGATCAACAACTGTTTTTATATCGTTGGTGAAGAATCTCCTCCTATTGATCGACTGTTTTGTTTGAGGGAAGAGATGAGCAGCTTGAATATAGGATGTAATCACCTTACGCCTCTAAACAATAAGTAGTAATTTTAAAGTTGTTGAACGTAAAATGATCAGCAAAATATTTAAGAAACTTTTAGTATGCCTAAGTTTCAAAGTATTATATTATGAAGATTTGTAAATGACAGATCTTGGAGCTGCTGGATATTTTTACTAAGTTGTACACTGCAACCATACACAAAAAAGTTTCTTTTATGTATCTTGGTTCTTTTCGCGTGCACTATGTAAACAAATTTCGAATAATTCCTCAGTGAGATTGTGTATAATATGATTAACGTCCCAAAAACACTTAACTCGTGATATCACGCTCAATATATGTTGTGCGAAAAAGTAAAATAAGGAGTATTTACCTAATTCACTTAATTTTTCTTTAGCTGTGAAAATGCTTCCAAATTATTTTCTGACCTGTGAATTCCGAGATAAACTATACATTTTCACTTTTCTCAGGTATAAAATAAAATAATATTCAACTACTTTCATCAATAGGTGAATCAGCAGTTAATACAATTTAAATCGATTGTTAAAAAGAGGGAAATGTAAGTACATAGTTTATTATGCTGATGAACAATACTATCTGCTGAGAGTTTATTGCTATTAGGAACACATACAGTTTTTCTAAGTAAAGTCGGTCAACATATTTAGTTTTATTAAAGCATTCATTGACCATTATTCATTTAAAGAAATAAATTTTGTATATATTTTCCCCCTTTAACCTAGTATGAAATTTGTTATGCCATTATTTTAAAATGAAGTGATGCATTTGAGGAAACATAGAGGTGACGGATATCGAGGCATTGTTATGTAACACGGTTAGTAAATGCAACATTTTGTTTTCTGTAATAAGTACTTTTTGGACCAGCAAATACGTCACTAATCATGTCCAAACTTCCTATAAAATCCTTCCCAGAAAAGAGATCGATTCTTGTATAGGTCTTTCCCAGAATGAAGCTCTTCTCCAATGTAGAGATAATTATGTTCATGCTTTGTAAAAGGTTTCCAGTCCACTCCCTGCAGCAGTGGATCATCAATGGGTGTCGGGTCACTGCAACAAATTCAGTTCGTCTCGTTATCAAATTTCCTCAAAGAAAAAAGCAGTTTCATATTATCAGTATTTATTCGCATATTTTAAATATAGAGATTGGATTTGAAAGTATTTTCGTCTGAGAAGCAATCAGAACGTGTTAGTGAATTACTGAAAAAATAAATTAAAAACGGAAGAACCGAGAAAGTAACCGAAGAAACTGATATCTTCAATAACTGACTCAAATTTTGAAAATAAAAATTGAAATAATTGTTCAGAAGTGATCAAATGAAGCTATTTTTTTGTGTTTGAATACTATTACTTGAATCTATTTTTAAAATGTGTTTACTGTACTCACTGGCTTGTATGCTTTGAGGCAAAATGAATATTTACTGCTGATCTTTACTGACTATGCTGAAAGAGGCAATTAAATATTCGTGTGAGTCTCGGAGTGTTCAGGGTTTCTCGCATCCGAATGCCAGAAGGTCTTTTAGTGTATCTGTGAACGTCGTGTGCGTGAGAATATTCTTAAAAATGCGTTTTACCCAAATTTAATGTAGTTTGTCCATAGGCGCACCATTTCGCGTCGAATTCTCGCCGATGACGAGTTCTCCGATACTTCGGGAAGTCCCTCTATGCGGAAGAGGTAGTTGTTATCTTCGCCGTGACCAGCACCTGGAACACATTAGTGAATTACAGCTCTGCGATGGATCATCGCCACTCGATAATATTTAATTGGCGCGAGATATTTGGAATGTTTTGGTTGTATGAAATACAAGGCGACTATTCTATTAATGGGCCGCGATAGTACAAAATTCTGCTTGGCGGATAGGCCCTCAATCGCTGGGAAACGCTGTTCAAGGTCTCGCCCTGCAGAGGGCATGCTTTTCAGTCTTCAAATCTTGGAGAATAGTCGATTAGTGATGACTCGCTCGTAGATCACTCTCAAACAGTAAATGTTTGTGCGTGACCCTTACCAAATGTGTTAAACCGTTATGTGCACTGTATCCAGGAGCTGTTCTATCAAATTTTGACAAATTAAGAGCGTAATTACGGTCATTTTCAACAGCACTCCGCAACCGTGCACACTGTTTCAGTTTCCTTCAGGGTTTACATCCCATTAATGGAGACAAAATTATCACAAGTGGTTTGAAGCCCGCACTATTGCCTGATCTAACTTCGTGACATTTGTTTGGGAGTTCCTGAAAGACCGCATTTACGCTACAAATCTACACACGGAAGAATTTCGGCGCAATTAACAGGAACATACCTCAGTAATGTCCCATAAACTGAGTTACTGAGTGAACCAAAACTTGTGTTGATATAAAGAATACATCAGGTCCATTGGTTAGTAGTTCACGCATGTATTTTAATATTAGTGCAATTTAAACTTTCTGGTAGCGAGAAGCTACCAGTTCTTGCATCATCGGCAGTTCGACCTTTCGCCGTGTCTCGATTTCCCCGGCATCCGTGGCCTCGTTCGCCGTGGCGAAATCCCTGCGCGAAAATCTCGCACTGTATAAAAATAATTTTAGAATTATGTCCACTCAGAAGAACATTAAATACTTTCAAACATGATTATATGATAATTATTTAGAAAACAAGCTGCAAACTTCAATACGCCTGTTTTGCTAATTGATCATAGGTTAAATTTGTTTGCTATATTAGATATAACAACATTACACACTCAGTTATTCTACACACTCTGTGGAAGTAAAAATTGATTATGATTCATTCTAATGAAGTTTGTTTTATAAACAATTCGCGATGATACGTATGATCAACGATTAAGCATTTCGTCTCGTTTACAGGAAAGAAATCACTTACGATGACCGATGATATAATGATATTCCTTGGTGTTGATTGAATCGTAAATCTGTTAAGGGATCTCCTTCGATTCACATAAATAATATATATTCGATGCAAAGTGTTTCAGAATTACCTAGTTTCTTCAATCCCCTATTTTCTGTAATTTTACTGAATTTTACTAAAGCAATAGTGATCTACTAATTACATCACATTCCAAAGGAATGTTCTTAGTATTTCGGAGCGGGAATTACGTATTTTCAATATAAAAGTACACTGCTATTATTTGAGAACTTTTTGGGTGATAATAATCAGGTGCCTCCTGAAATATATTCTGAATCCACCCCTGTCATAAAATCATATTTTTACATTTTTAATCGCGAGCCCGAGAAATGAAATTGATTTACACGTTTGGTAATTACGTAAATCAGATTAACTTGACTGACGCATATCCAAGGCATGCCAGTGCCCGCAGAGCACTAAGTTGTGGTAGTGTCGGCAATGAGAGTGAGATCCTACCCAGCAACCCAGAATAAATTCCCATATAATTGAAGGAAAAGGGTACACGTTCAAAAACGAACAATACATATATTTATACATTACATTCATTTTCTGCAGGTTTGAGTTCAAATATTTTCAGTTTTTGTGGTATGACAAGGGTACAGATTTTGAACATTTCCTGCACTTGCGGCCTTTCCGTATAGACATGATACGAAGTCCTATTGTTTGCAGTAGTAGTCAGTCACTTACTTGCTTCGGTTGCACCACTCTTATGTGCATTGGCTAATTATAAAGAAATATTTCAGTATTATTTCAGTCTGTTCTTGCTATCTATAAGAAAACGATTGAGTTACTTCGAAGTGATTACCTACGACGATGGGTATAGAGAGATTACTATATAAAGCTTTGAACCCTATTGCTTGGCCACTGCCGGCAATTTAACTGCAGGTACGTCCATGCGTTCGTTTATTGTTAGATCAACTCCTCTATAAGTGCAATAATTGCCATTGTTGTACATTTTTTTTAGAACACGACGCATTGCGAGCCACTCCTGCACTAACCTTTAGTGGACAGGGATAATAAAGGGAAGAAACGAAACAGTCCCATGTTGTGAAACGCTTTCCGAAGAACTGAAAATTTGCTCGCAACAGTTAATACAAAGTTTGCTACCTGCTCAGATGAAAAGTACTATAAAAAAATGATTTAATTTTTCGTGTGCGTGCAATGTTTGGAACAGTTGCATTTTCATTTTAATTACCTTTGCAGACATGGCTTCCCCCGATGAGACCCTATGGACTATTTTTAATTAGCTGCTATTGTTAATTGTGTCACTATTATAACAGTTTGATATCGTTTAATGCGCTGTATTTTACAGCTGAAAGTTGATGGTAGATAAATTTGGGCACATTTGTGTTTAGTGATTTTATTTCGGAAATTATGTTTTCTACTTTAATATATCTGCCTGAATGACATATTTACGAGCAATTTTGGATATAGTTATAGTGGACAGAGGAAAATACTTTAGCACTTGGTGTAACCAGAATCCATGTTATATAGGTCCTTGATACTGAAAAATTGAATAACGGCAAAACGGCTGTCTGTCTGTCCGTTTGTGAACATCACTAGCGGCCAAACCGTTTAGCAATTTCTCCAAAACTGATATTTCCCAATTGATTTAGCTGATGTCGCAGTACCTTAATTTGAAACCGGTATTTTAATTTTGGGGGTACTTCACATAAAGCCGCTGAGACATTTTCAAAAAGTGATTCATTAATTTTTTAATACATTTTATTGTTGAATAGTATGAGGGAAGTTTAAGAGAATGGTAGAAGTCTCATTTTCGGTAAAAACTCTGATTTTTCGAAAATTGCAATTTTTTTCCGTTTCTTCCTACAAATACAATTATGAAGTTAGATTTTTTCCTTAATAAATTCTGTTCCTTCAAGTTCCCCAAATTTTTCGAAAAGTTGGGTAGTTTTTAAGTAATTTTGCGTGAAACTGCAGACGGTAATAATTAATTAGTTGCTCTTGTTATTTGTGACGCTTAACATACAATTAATTTGATATCGTTTAATGAACTGCATTTTACAGCTGAAAGTTGATGAATTTATGGCATTTCGTGTTGTGCGGTCTTGTTTCGAAAATTGTTGTCTGCTTTGAATATATCTGTCTGCATTTCATATTTCCGATCAATTTTGAATATTGTGGGTAGGATTCTTTTGAGTAAACTTTTATTTGAAGAATATATTATAATCCGTTGCTTCTCTAGGCTGCCTTCAAGAACAGCTTTCTAATGCTTCAGTCAATATTTCTCGCGGTCTGCGCCAATTACGTAATCATTTTATAGAATAATCGATTCTTTCTTTGTGATAATTTGTGTATTGATCGACTGTTTAAAACTAATATTCTCTTAGCTAAGGTAGCAGCATCGATATGCTTACATCATATTGATGCTGCTACCGATTCCCTTTAAAAAGATTACTTTCAAGCGGCTTTGGGTTTATTCTTCAGACACCCCTAGTTAGAACTCGTCCGCGACAATGAATGAATGAATGAATGAATGATGACTTTTCCCTTGTACTTATCAAGGTAATAATAATAATAATAATAATAATAATAATAATAATAATAATAATAATAGGAAATATCACTAATTGTCTAGAAACACGTTGTGGGAGTGCCACATTTATCGCGAACAACATTCCATTGGCCTTGAAGTGTACACATTTTTAGAAGATATTTCTATTGATTTTTAATTACGTACGCTATACTAGAAAAATGAGTGTTTCCAAGGAAACCCGGTTAATGAAAATGTGATGTTGCATTCAAGGTTGAAACCACGCACATTTCCCGTAACGATCACACTTTATTAATGTCAGAGTAGAATTCGATATTATTTTTGTCGCGGAAATCTGATCAATATTTTCTCTGTTTGGATTAAAGCATGAAAATCTCGTAATTTGAACATATCGTTTATTATTTTTATAACATTTTTTAAAGAGTCATGTTATACCGACCGAAGTAGCAGGGCTAACAGTTTAGAAATAAGACGTCTTAAAAAATAACCTCTTCATTTGCCTCACGCACTTAAAAAATGTAAACGTTAATGTTAAAATAAACGTTTTATTTAAAAAATTAAAGATAGTTGCTTTTTAATTGATTTCCTTTGTTGACTGACAATATTGATCATTACCAATTAAAGGCGTGAACGTACGCAAAGAGCGGGTGAGGCAAGATTTTCTCGCGGGTAAAGAGATGAAGGGACCGACGGGATGCGGAGACGAGGCACCCGAGGCCACGCGACGACAGGTGAAAGCCACCGCAGCTGTGATATATTTTTGCCTCCCGAACGCTTCTTACGTAGCGGCAACGAGGGATTCATCACTATCCCCTACACTTTTTAATCTATACGTTTCTGACCTTCCAGAATTAAACAACAATCGAACGGTTCAATTCGCGGAAGACACGGCAATTTTCCTAGACGGAGATTTGCTAGTAGATAACGGAAACTCTCTTCAATTGTACCTCAATCTTATAGACAGTTGGGCTGCATATTTAAAAATCATACTTATTCCTGCAAAAACAGCTATCAAAATATTCACTTTAAGACCCCAGCACCACTCGCAATAAATAATGAACCCATTAACTAACTACTCCCAAATAGTACCGTAAAATAGCTCGTGCTTTATTTAGACACTAAACTGAACTGGAGCCAACACATCAATAGTAAAATATAAGCAAAAATAAGCTGCATCAACCAGAACACATCGTTAATCAATCTTCCCACCTCTCATTCTCACGAGCCCTAACCATTTACAAAACCATAGACCACTGTTCCTATACGCCTATTCAGTCAGCAATAAAAACAAACCTTAACAAGCTTCAAAAAGTCCAGAACCAATTTCTTACAATTATCACAAATTCTACTTGGTTCATCACAAACTCACAGCTCCACAACGAATTCCAAATGGACTCCATAAAACACCATATAACGTATCTCTCCACCCAGTTCTATCACTCTATACCTCAAATTATTCACCTAGCCAAATTCAGACTCCGGAAAACCCCTCAGAGAACAAGAATTAAAAACATATCCATACCAGACATTCCTGGTCAAATTTTCCGAAAGTTAAAGGTACCTAAAAAATTGCTCCCCTAAATTAGTATGTAGTTTATATTTAGATGAATTAGACGGTACGCCTTCACAACAAATGTATAATGCATTATTAGTACTGATCTATGTATGGTCTGTAAAACAAAACTTTAAAGCAAACAACGGCAAAATGAATCATAGCACAAAACTGCCACATCCATACGGAAACCCACGTGTCTAAACCACACATGTGAAGCGTAATGTTTGTAGGAACGTTTGTCACTTTCCAAAGCCAATGCAATTGATATCAGAAAACGTAAAATTGCTAAAATTGGTATTGTAAGATAAACTTTTGTTTCGAAAAAAAAAAACGAAATAGAAAACTAATACAGGAAAGTCTGTGCCATCCTGTAGCACTACCCGTTTTGATTAAATTTTGATCTCTGATAGCCGCTTAAAAGAATGGCGCAGATCACATGTTCGTAAAAAATTTTAATTTTTGGAAAATGGAAAACAAAGTTTCGGCGTCTTCCTATAACCACATTTGTCAAGATAACAAACTCCAAATAAGGTACTGCGCAATGTTTCGAAAATATAAGTATGTGAACATTATACTCCAATTGATTAGTTCTGGGACACTTCAAAGTCACAAGCCGGCCGAAGATGGGAACATTGTCATTCAATTGGAAGATTCGGTACGACTTAAACTTTTGGTATTTGAGCTCCGGAGTCGACGACAAGTCCCCCTCTCCTTCCAGCTCGCGACCTTGAAGTGCCACTGTGTCTAAATAGGAGTATAAATGTCGGTGCCCGCAGTTCGACCGAGAAAAAAAAATGCCTGCTCCGGATGTACAATATCACTTAATCTTAAAAATTAATGAAGATTGATTTTTAACACCGTTTAAGGGCCAAATCTCTTGAAATGCTTCCTCATATGTGCGATCTATCTAGAGTAGCGTACCTGGAATATCTGTAACGTTTAACGCGATCTTCAAAGTATTCAGTTCATCACTGACGTCAAAGATATACTGGTGCAAAACTGTCTTGTATGATTCTGCCATCATTCTTAAACAGTAATATACTGCCTTACCAAATTGTATGTCAGTAAGCATCTGCAAAAAAAAAATATATGGTCTTTAAATAAACATTTGCTGCTAGACGTAGCTATAACAAGTGAAAAAAATATTTTTGTCGAAAGACCATATCGTTTTGGCACTCTACTGATGACTATTTGTATTTTGATGAAAGTAACAGTGCACGCACGTCTACGATAGTACAATGCATATAGTACAATGCGGAAAGGTAACTTTAAATGAACACCATTTTATGATACGAAATCAAAACACATCAGCATATCATTTCTATAAAGTTCAAATAATTTCTATTAATTTATTTAAATTATATTTAATCATTAGTACAATAAAAATAATTTGCGTTATAAACATCAAGTTTTCCTACCAAACCTGCGACCTATGCTTGCTGAAATTAACTACAACTGAGCTTATCTCTGAACTTCTTGATCGTTTGAAAAACAAATCAAATGTTTGGAATTTTTTTTATAAATTATCGACGAGGCGGCGAATATTGAGTTTGAGATTTCGTAACGATATGGAAAACTTTTTGAAGCTGTATGGCGTAAATCTTTCTACGACGATAAGTGGCATCTTTTACAGTTGGGCGCAAGACTAAATTCTATACAATTACAGTCACAATAAAAGGTTAAATGTCAATTTATAAATGGTGATATCTCTGCGTTGCTTCTTATAGCAATGACTGTATTCATATTTGAAGATATGTAATGAATAAATACATTTAGGGAACAAAAATTGAAGATCATTTGTAAAGTAAAATAAATTATTTTTAATTTTTGTCGATGTATTATAGCTTTTTGCATTAGTGCCCCATTTGATACGCGAAGTTTAAACAATGCCAATCACATGAATAAGAACTATTGCGTGTACTTTGGAGAACCATGTCTTTTGTAATGCAGAAGTGATCGAACTGATGTAGTGTTCTAAAAGTAATATTTTTATCTGCACCTTAAAAATCCCACCCAGTGTCCTGAACAGAGATACATTCTCACTTCCTTAATCATATAATCTTAATCTTCGCTACTGTCTTATCTTTGACTCCTTACTCTGCTACTTCACTTACGTCCATGAATCCGAGCAACGTGTCGTTGGTGAGCGGCTGTCCGTCCATGTAGAATTGACGCAGGGCACTTAATGCCTCCTCGTTATTGTCTCCATCGTCCGGAAGAGAGAGCTCCGGTAGGATTTTCGTGTCCCAAGACGCATCCAAAATCCTTGCTACGGTTTCATTTAGAAAAAATGCCACTGAAACATTGAAGAGAATAGTTCACGTGTGGGAGAAACCCTAAAAAACTATACATGTTTGTAACAAATACTGTGTACACGATGAAAGCTTTAGATTTTTATAACACTTCATGAATGACACGGGATAAATTGTAAAACGAAAATACAAACAATTATTTAAACTCGAACATTAGCTTAATTTGAATTGTATCGAATAAATAGATTTTTATTTAGATTCTAATGAAAGCTAATTGAAATATTTATTGCATGTTGGTGTTGTGAAATATAATTTGCACCAATCATTCAATACATACCTGGCAAGTTCAAAAAAGATTCCCTTGAGGTAAATCCTGTGAGAAAAGGCACCGGATGATATAAATTTTTTTTCACCATTTCTATCGCAGGAGCTGGTAGAAACGTTTCTACTCCCTCCACAGGGAAGTCGTTTGTAGGCACAAAGGTAAACGGCCCTAAACGGTTTCGGTCCTGCACGTCAAAAAATTATGGTCATGAAACATTTGTGATTATAAATAAATACAATTAGTGCAAATGCTTTACCTAGAAACAGCATCGTTCCACCCAACACTCTAAATGTTAAAAATACAAAACATTTCAATTGATTTAGAAAAAAATGAGCCGCTGTTTCATTACTATGACGATTCTTCCAAAACGTCATAAATCGTAGGAATGAAAATGCCTTATGAAAACATTAAATTTCCACTCTTTAACGTATACAGTAGTCTAACATTAGTCAAATCGTCTGGCATCATTTTTAACAAATGCAAAGAACAATTTGACGTTAAAAGGTAAATTGCCAACATAATCATAAATTAACTCTTTATTAATATAATTCTCCCTTTAAAAAAATGTGTTTTGAAAATTCGTTTAATAATTTCATAGTTTTAGTAAAAACGCATCTGTGATTTTGAAACTTTCGTGCTAAGCGTTTCTTAGAGTCAGTGCTTTAGTTGTTTAACCAGCGAGAAATAATATTGTAAACATAAAATTCTTCGCAGAAAACATTACGTACGGAAACACGGGAAACAAGCCTTATTGATTTTGTACTTTTTCAAAAATTCTTTGAACAATATATATTGTGTTTTACTTGTTATTGAGTGATAAATATCTGGGAAACGCACTTGTGAAGCCACTAGCGCGAAAAGTATGGAAATACTTTTGTAGTCTACATCTGATTAGTCTTCTAATAACTTCTCAATTTTTTCACTGTTGAGTTGTACACTGGCGAATACCCTAACCGCTCAGGAAGTAACTGAATCAAGCAACTTGACAAAATGCTTCAAACAATTCAGGGATTGCATTACAGTCTCCTTAATATGGCATTGTTGAAGGATGAAAATTTTGATCTATCGCACGTGGTATATCAATTTGTTTAAATTGTCTTGGATGATCGGAAGTTGAACTAGTACGGGACAGAAAACATCCTCTTTACACGATTCTTGGCAATTCCATATGCCTATATTTGAGTCTTATTCTTACGTACTCGGATTCTATTCGGAATTTGCAAAATCATTTTTTTGCAGTATACACTTTACATGTTGTCATGTTCAACATTAACGTCCTTGATGAGTATATGAAAATGTTGGATCGAAACATCAATTTTACAGAAGTAGTGTATGTGCTGTTTACAAATGATATGGAGATATTTATGTTAAAACATTCAGATTTTTGCCCGTATAAATTACGGGCGCTGACTGGACGCCTTAATTTACGACGTCCGGCAAACTTGCTTATATAACGATATTTTTCCGTTCGCTGATATATATATAGAGATCAATTCTACATCAATAAAGTACACTGACGTGCTAGACTACTGCAGTCGCGCCTAGGATTGCAGTTCAAATTTACCACACCAAAGCCAATTAATGTGAATAAAAATTTGAGGTTTTCTTCAATATTACGAATTACGAATGTAATGTTACGTAAAATGTTCTAATATTAACAGAATTATTAAGAATTTAACCAAACGTATTAAACTTTTTTAAAGTCAATTTCTTTTGTTAATTTATTTTAAAAATATTTTAAACCATAAATGTAAACACAAAATTACAAAATTGTTGCTTTAAAATTTAAAAAGAAATATTGCTTCTGTATATATTGGTTTAGAAGATACGATCCTTTAAATATACCTCAAAACCTTACGACCTGCAGTGGAAAAAATTGGGAAGAGACTACAACTTGAACGTGTTAATCATAGAGAGGAGTTATTGTTGATATCTTTGGCCAACGGTAACTACGTTTTGTGTAGAATGAATGTATAATACACGTACAACGTCTGTGAGCGCTGAGCTGAAGGCTGCCACGATGAGATCTTGAGTGGCCACCCCGCGTAGGCAGACCACGGTCTGGTTGTAGTCTTCTCTGGAACAGTTCACTGCGTCGGCCAGTCGCAGCGACGTTTCTTCGGGGGCCGTTTGGATTGCCCAACGGTCGAGAGCATTCCCGCTTTGCGAAATGGCCCGTCGAATTAAACCTAAAACGATAAAGTAGTATTTGATCGATTATGAAGAACTTCCGGTCTGCCCAATTATTGCCGTTAGTCCCGTAAGTGTAGAACAAGTGATATTCAGGGTTGTGTTGTTCCCGCGCTGCGACTGGAATGTGGCGTCGACCTTCACGCCGGCTTGCGTCGCCTAGTAGTGCGTGCTCGCGCGCGAGCGTGTTTGTATAAGGAAAGAGATGGATAAAGGATCAGATTGAAAATACTCTGTTCTGTTCATATCCCTTTAGTGTTTCTCCGGCATTTGTCTGATATGTCCATGCCGGAGAAGCCTTCGAAAACTACCGATGAGCCGGACACTCGAATTCTCTTCCAGACCGGCTGAATTCAATTCTGTGGGACCTAGCTAGTGTCGAAGATGCCCCTTCCACCTTCCGTTCAGCTACGCTGCGCAGCAGACTTTAACTGCAGTTTTTTTAAAGCGTTATTACTTAAATAGTACCGTGTTCAATCATATCTGTCACTGTTGTAACGTTTTTAAGTTGGGTTTATCAAATGAATATCAATGACAAAACACGATTTTGATTTTTGTTTTTGGGAGTTCGTGTACCTACCCCCCAGCAATGTGAATATACTAGAAGTTACAAAATAATGACACAGCTAACTTGTGTGAATGGCAATTAGAAATCGTGTATAATATCATTGATAATAGAATTAGGTTGAGTTTTTGGGGTGCCTCCTAGGTAATTGCCAAACATTTCAACACCTTTTTGAGGATTCTGTCAAATCTGGTAACAAGTTTTAGCAGATCAGTCTCTGTACCTTGGTGAAATGTAGGTGAGTGGCACTTTCCTTATTTGAACAAAGCATTTTTAGTTTTTATTTATTTATTTAATATTGCATTTGTGTGAATTTTCATAATGGATTTAATTAGACAGCTAAACAAAAGTTGATTGTGCAATAATGTATCCTGTATTTCTCGTTCTATAAGTTTCATGGGCCCAGTCATTTAAGACACCACACGCACAATGGATTTGGATTTGAAATTCTTCTACCAGATATTCAAAAAGTTAAATAAAAGTATATTTGTCTTTCTGTAGTTGGTCATTTCTGTTATGGAAAGAATTTGGCTCACGGTAGTACCATATATAATATTATACAAAATTATTATATTTTATGACAACTTTGGAAGCCATTCTCTACATGTGATTCTTACCAAGTGTAATTAAACAATTTGTTGTAAAAAGGAAGTGCTGCAAAAAATAGATTTCGTTATTGGGTTTACCAAAACAAACAAACAAAAAAACTATAAAATATATTTTTCTCGTGCACGCTGACGTATCGTTTATTAAAGAAAAAATATTTCCTGTGCTTAGTTTCAGGGAGAACTGAAAGAGCTACGTACTTTTTAGGAGTAAAGAATCTTTGAGAAAAAATATTTTCAATTTGAGTAATTTATTACACCAAGCCGAAGTCATTTAATATTGTCAATATATCTTAGAAGATTTTATGGGCTGTCCTGTAAATTATTCGAGTAACAAGATGTGGACATTTTTAGCTAATAAGTGTGTAAATTAAAGAGTTCCCTTACTCCGTATTTTGGCACAGATTAATCACTAAACAGAACAAGCGAGCAGAAGAAGCTTGTGTACAATATGTGATCGGCAAATATAGACTAGTGCATAAGAAAATGTTCGGTACCTTTGGTGAGTGGCGACAACACATTCAGGTGCACTGAAGCTCCCCCCGCGCTCTCCCCCGCCAGTGTCACCTCAGAGGGTCGGCCAAGAAATCCGGCGATGTTCTTCTGCACCCAGCGTAGAGCCATCACTTGGTCTTTCATCCCTGCGTTGCCTGGTGCCGATTCATTCAGGTACAGAAAACCTGAGGATTTATTTTGAACACTATATTATTACTATTCGAATAGTAAAATTCGGCATATCCGAGACTCAATCGGAAAGAGAGAATGATACAGTGATTTGCTATTTCAGAAAGAAAAGTTCACTTCTAAATTGTGTTTTTACATCGTCAAAAGTAATAAGGGAGTTTTCGGAAGTTGTGTGTCGAATCTGACCTTATTTGTTTTTATTTAAAGTACTTGCATGTAAATAAAAAATATCTAAAAACGAAGGTTTTTTTCTTTGAAAAAAAGAAAAAAAGATTGAGGTTGATTATTGCTTAATTTTCTTTACCATTTAGTTTCGATTACGAGAATATAGTGTTAATAATATCATAATAGAAATAATACCAATAATGATAATAATAATAATTTATAGGTGATTTTTTGTAATTTATTTTTAGTAAACTTTATATATAAAGTTTTCTATAACTCGGAAACAAAAGTGTATAGTTTTTTTTTCAAGAATTGCTAATATCGCGCTTTTTTAAAAAAAAATATTTATTTATTTTAAATTTTTACTTATCTTTGATTTATTTATAGTTAGAATGACGGGAAGAGATTCTGAAACTCAAGCTCAACTCTCATCTTCATCTACATGTAAATATTGCTCTGGTTCATATCTGTTTTTTGTTTAACGTTGTTACATTTTCTTATTTAATCGAGTTAAAAATGAGTAAATATAAAGTTACTCCTACACAACCGTACCTACTGTCAATCCTACCTTTGGTCTTTGATGTAAATTCAATGTTATTTTACTACAGAAAGTGGTATGTCTAATCTATATTACCATCTTACGTAGGATTGACAGTAGGTACACACACACACACACACAATCGAAAATGATATTAAAATACTGTTGGGGTATAACCTATGGTTCAGGAAAAATTTTATTAATTCGTTTGAAGTGCTGGGCATTTCGGAATAGTAGTTTCAAAATAAACGCGCCTTCGTTCAATAGATCCGGCCTGAATTCTGCAGACAGAGGTTGAATATGACCAAGATTTTTAGCAAGTGTCGAAAATCCCCCACCGTTGGGATTTGAACCCTAGGACCTGCATTGTCAGGCATTATGTAGGAACAATTGTGAGTTAACGCAGCTGATTTGATAAAAAAATATTTATTTTCTTCCCGTTCGACTTTTGTCTTTCGGAGGTTTTGACGGGTACAATGTTACATACAATGATTTTACTTGACCAGCCTCGGGCAAATGTGGGTCTCGGGATACACCTTCACTATATTTTTAAAATGTTATATTAGGATATCTTCCCTAAGAGTAGTTAGCGTTTATGGTTTAGAGGAGGATGGAGAGTGTTTGTGGGAAAAGGGGGCAAATAATTTTATGAGGTGGGCGAAAGATATCTTTGGGGAGTCTGGATCTAATGCGCGATGGATAATGTGCGTTTTGGTTGAGAATGAATATTGGAGTGTTGGGGCATGTTGGGACGAGAGAATAATATTTTTAGAGGTTGATAAATGTTTAATGCTTACCTAATACACCTAACCTGTAGTTAAAAGATACCATAATGACATTCTCTGAGACGATATAATCTGGACCATTAGATGACTGACTGCTAGAGCCAATAACAAAGCCTCCTCCATGGACATAAACCAATACGGGTAGAGAATCTTCTAGCCAGGTCGGTAGCTGAGGGGAGTATATGTTCAAGAAAAGACAGTCCTCGTCGCCGATGGTGCTTCCATCGGGCCAAACTCCGTCTCCAAGTCTCGGTTGAATGCACATACTGCCATCTTCAAGAGCATCACGAACGCCTTCCCAAGGCTCAGGACTCAAGGAATCCTGAAAATACAAAAATAAATCTTACGCAGGCTTAGTATTTTATGGCATTCTTCAGACAAGCATGAAGTTCGATTGATCGGTTAGAATTTCAGGACGTGCCTACCGCTAAGGTTATCAGTCACGTAAGTGTAGTGAATGTTTTATCGCGGGAGGGGGTGGCGAGCCTCCCCACCTGGATGGTGGGATCTGGCGCCGTCTAACGCAGAAAACCCAGTTGGGGAAAACCCAGTTTTCAGACAACAGCGAATCATCGCTCCAGTCAGAACAAGCTCTAAGGTCGTTACAAGTGCGGAGGTGTGAGTAAGGGGTGAGGATAGAGCAGGAAAGAGGAAGGAAAGATCGCGCGCGGCAATTTTGTTAGGGTACTGCACGTCATTCGCGCGGTTCTGATCGGAGAAACAGTTCAAAACTTCTGGCTAGAGCAATCGGCCGCTAGAATAGTTTCTCCAAACAGAGACTGAATACTACATATACCTAGTTAGTGTTTAAATCCCACCATCTAGGATCTCCATGACAAGAGGCATTGTAGTCATCAGTTCATGCTCTGAGGCACCTAATCAGGTCAAAGAAATTCGGGACAATGTATTCACGACGCATTGCGCGTCACCCCGTGCTAAAATTTGCGTTCGGAATATGTGCTCTGACGTCACAGAGGACGCAGACGGCCAGATTGAATGCCATCTAAAAAGAAAGTTCCGAACTTTTCTTTCGGTATTCTCGGTTCATAAAAATTATAATCATATTCTTGTAAGAAATCACACAGGGAAACCAATGTAATAAGTTATTAACGCAGCTAAATCAAATTTCTGGGCGATTACAATCCCTACTTCATATTATTCTCACTATTCAAACAGCAATATTGTGCGTGGAAGGCGCGATTGCAAATGCTCTGAGTCTTCCTTCTCGTGTCTCTCGTTCCCGCTTTACCGATCGTCGAGTGCATTGATGCGGTTATCTCACGCGATCTTTTGTATCTGCCATTGTGCGTTATACTACAAGATTATGCGGACGCGTTCGAGAGCGTATCCACCAATGGGCTGCATTTGGCAGAGCCCTCATGGGGTATTCACATGTGACAGTGGCTGACGCTAGAATCAATGGGTACATGATACTGCCCATGCACGTCGTGCAAGCTCGGGTCGACCAAGAAACACCATCTGCAGGGAGAACCGTCGTATGGAACGTCAAGCAGAGTGGAATGCCCCATAGTGTTGGCACCCGTCATCCTGGAACATGTACTGACGTCGACAACTTCCTGTGAGTTCGTGCACAAAATGCTCGACGACTCGCATGTGCAGACCGGTCCGAGCTCCGCGTACGTCGGCTGCAATTGACACAGCACTGGCGTGCCCGGGGGAACGGACAGCGGACGAATGGCATCGCATCATGTACGGTGTGATGAGTCCCACAAATGTCGTGCGGCATTTGAAAGAATTTCTGATGCAACAGCAATTTCAATAACGTCCTCCTTTAGAAAAATAACAAATTATTGATACTGAAAAAGCACAAAACCCCACCTGTGTTGTTATATCACTCCGGGTCGCTCTTTCTCCACGATAACGCTCTCCAACACGCGGCCAAAGTCGGAACAGAAATGTTCCATGAATGTGGTTGCTAAGTGTTGCAACTTGCACCTTACAGTCCAGACATGACTCCATAAGGCTTATGCTAATTCCCAAAATTGAAAAGAACCTCTCCGAGGACGTCATAATTATCCCTTGCTACAGCCGGTACCCGAACCATTCGTCTGATGAATGAGGAAGGAATATTGGATGGAATTCTTAAGCTTCCCAGTCGTTCGCTCTCTATAAATGAGAAGAATGGAGACTACATTGAAGACTGTAAATATATTTTAAAAAATAAACATGTAAGAAAATATAAAATTCTGTGCAATTTTGTATGAAATTACCGTCGTATTTAACCTCTTCTGTTATAAAATCCTTGTTCTTTCTTACGAAACTACCGAAGATGTCTGGAACGTCTTTTCGCCAACTTCAATAATGCAAAACTCCTCCGCTTGTATTGAACAATATAGTTTAACGCTATCGAAACGTATCTTACGATGACAGGCAACTCACGAGCGAGTAGCCAAAATTTTTGTAATAATTTGGAGGTCAATTACTTATATTCTAATTACTATATTGTTATTATCAGCCAAGCGAACGCACATAATTCTGCTTCGGCAATAGTGCGTTTGCTCGCTTCTTGTTTCAATTGGAACGTTTTCATATAATAGCTGAGGTACTAGTAGCGCACAAAAAACAATATTACAATATTACGAAGCAGTTTCCTACAACGCGAGAAAGTACGTACTATATACGCGGGAAAGAACGTAATATTTCAATATTACGTAAATATTTGCAGTAACACGAGAAAGTATGTGCTGTTTCAACACCTAGGTTTCATTCGAGTATTACGAATGCGTGCACAAATATCACGCCGTGTGTGTGAAACATCATTCGCATAAATCGTGTTAAAGAATGTCATAATTAATCCGTACACATGATTCGTGCACTTGTTACGTAAATTAATAGATTGTTATCCGAATTTTATGTATGAAACGTATTGTGAATATATATGAGGGTGACAGCGCAATAGTGGCCTATCCCACATATTTAGGAAATAGCGTTCTCTGTGTTAATCACATCTTAATCTCCCTAACTTCAACGTGTAACAGTTTCACCATGTTCGCGTCGATAGTTTTCAAGTTATAATTACAAAAATAACTATTGCACTCAGCTTACGATTACA